TGGAAAAAGGCCAAGCCCAGGCCATAAGGCAGGATTTAAGCATGATGTAGACTGCTAGAGAACTTCAGTTAGTTCTCACTTCCTTCCTATGTTACCTGTACTTCAGCAGTAGGAGGGCATTTCATTGAAGCATTTCAATCCCTCTTCCTATTCAGAAAACGTTTAATATGCCTAACTTTATGTTACATTAAACTGTGCATATGAGCACTTTCCAGAGAGGTACATGAGAGAACTGATCACTGTGTTCATTTTCATGTGTTAATTACTAAGCTGCCTACAGCTGCTTATATATATATCACTTAAATTCTTTCAACCATCTTACAGTTGTGCAGTAGGTTTCTCTGGGTTATGTCTGGACTTTTTTGTGGGTTTATTATTTTTGTTTGGTTGCTTTTTTTTTAACAAAACCATCTGATATTAAACACATATTGCTTGATTGAAATAAATATTGAAAAAGATTTAAGTAATCCAGTTCAGGATACAAACCCATGCCAATACTTTCTCTCACATATATATATATAACTAAGTCTATATTAATCTCAAATCAAAATAGAAATATGATACTAATTTTTGGTTGCATTGTTATTTGGCTGGTTTTGACCAATTTCCTTCCTTCCTTCCTTTCTCTTTCTTTTTCTTTCTTTCTTTCTTCTTTCTTTCTTTCTTTCTTTCTTCCTTCCTTCCTTCCTTCCTTCCTTCCTTCCTTCCTTCCTTCCTTCCTTCCTTCCTTCCTTCCTTCCTTCCTTCCTTCCTTCCTTCCTTCCTTCCTTCCTTCCTTCCTTCCTTCCTTCCTTCCTTCCTTCCTTCCTTCCTTCCTTCCTTCCTTCCTTCCTTCCTTCCTTCCTTCCTTCCTTCCTTCCTTCCTTCCTTCCTTCCTTCCTTCCTTCCTTCCTTCCTTCCTTCCTTCCTTCCTTCCTTCCTTCCTTCCTTCCTTCCTTCCTTCCTTCCTTCCTTCCTTCCTTCCTTCCTTCCTTCCTTCCTTCCTTCCTTCCTTCCTTCCTTCCTTCCTTCCTTCCTTCCTTCCTTCCTTCCTTCCTTCCTTCCTTCCTTCCTTCCTTCCTTCCTTCCTTCCTTCCTTCCTTCCTTCCTTCCTTCCTTCCTTCCTTCCTTCCTTCCTTCCTTCCTTCCTTCCTTCCTTCCTTCCTTCCTTCCTTCCTTCCTTCCTTCCTTCCTTCCTTCCTTCCTTCCTTCCTTCCTTCCTTCCTTCCTTCCTTCCTTCCTTCCTTCCTTCCTTCCTTCCTTCCTTCCTTCCTTCCTTCCTTCCTTCCTTCCTTCCTTCCTTCCTTCCTTCCTTCCTTCCTTCCTTCCTTCCTTCCTTCCTTCCTTCCTTCCTTCCTTCCTTCCTTCCTTCCTTCCTTCCTTCCTTCCTTCCTTCCTTCCTTCCTTCCTTCCTTCCTTCCTTCCTTCCTTCCTTCCTTCCTTCCTTCCTTCCTTCCTTCCTTCCTCCCTCCCTCTCTTTCTTTTCTTTTCTTTTCTTTTCTTTTCTTTTCTTTTCTTTTCTTTTTTCTTTTCTCTTTTCTTTCTTTCTCCCCCAAAGCACCAACACTTATGTCCTAAATCTCATCTACACTTTAATAGGTTTTTGAGACCCACCCAGGGAATTCTATCAGTCTTTTCCACCTCTAAGGAACTGAAAACTGAAGATTTACTCTCATGAAAAAATTAAATAGTTCCAGAAGACTGAACCACACATTTTCTCAGGAGCCTTACAGTTACTTTAATGCAGTTTAATACATCTCATCTATACAGACTGTTGCATGTAACTAGCAGAAGTCTCATTGGACACCTCTTTTTGTGGATGAGATAGGGAGGGAGGCTATGCTCACTCTATCATACCATTTTCACAGCTTTTCAAACTGTCTCAAACATAAGATATCTTTATAATCTTCTCATCTTTCTCAAGTCTTGACTGACATCTGCTATTTCAACTCAGGACTCCAGGAAAGGAGTGGATTTTTTTTTGCACAGTCATTCTGGTTTGCATTTTAGCAGGTTTTGGTTTACTGTGATTACTTGAAAAAAAAAATTCATATAGCCCTGTGAGAATCTAAGGAATACTTATAGAAAACATCTAAGTGTGCAAGGCATTATGTGCCTAAAAAGTGCAGCTAATAGCCAGCAATTTGTCATATTGTTCTGATTTTGTTAGCTTCACCACTGTTTTCACAGGAGGCTGGCTTTGAAAATATGAACTCAAAACAGTAGTAATACCCATTACTGGAAGTAAAGTCTGGAGAAGTATCTCTTGCTCAGTTTTCTTTGGCATATTTAGGGTGCAGAGCTCCTTTAACTTGGCAAGCCTGGGCAAGGAACACTTATCCATGTGCATGCAGTACACTCACTCCCATCTAATTACTTTTAGTTAATGCTATGAAACCGTTTTCTTTCATTTTAACATAGTCTCCAGCCCTGCAGACATGCAAAGCACATGAATAACAGTCTCCTAACTTCAATCAGATTACAACTGGGAACAAGGTACTTAGCCATGTGCAGCATCTGGTTGCAGAATTAAGATCATCTCTTGGGTCTTCTTAGGCAATTCTAGCATGAGATATGTGCACATGGACTATGGGATTCATGCAATGTGGGCTGCTTTGCCTAAAATGTGCAAAGTTTTTAGAAATTGAAGAGCAATTCACACAACCAATCCAGCAGCTCCTGAAGAAAGTGCACCAGCTCCAACAACCACCCTATTCACACACAGTGGCATTTACAGGAGGAAATATGGTCAATATAGAGTTAACTGTTCAAGCCAAAAGGAAGTGTCGACCTATGTGTTTCATAAAAATCAAGGACTTTTTTTTAAAATACATTTTTTTAAATACATTGCATCTGATATCTGAGAGAGAGAAGCACCCTGAAAGACTGCTATTCACCTGGCTTTACCCAGCTCTCTTGAAAAGAAGAGTGGGTTTTCTTTGGTGTCTACAAGTTTCATTAGCAAGTACATAGGCACAGAACAATGCATAATGTTAACAACCTTTCTGTAATATGTCATACTTCAACCTAAATTCCTCATTAATTATCTCATGCATTTTTCTATGTCATAGGGTGTGTCTGTTTCCAGCAGCTAAGGCATTTTGTAAGTATTTTCTAAATTACATGAAAAATTTTAAAAGTTCAAAAATTCAGAACAATCCAACATTTCAAGCTGTTAATAGAAGAGGTAATGAGCTGCACTTGATATGCTAAAATAATACAAATAGAGAAAAGAAAAGAGTTTTCTGAATGTTTCTGGAATTGGTTTTCTGTATACAATCATTAATGTGTTAAAACATGTACAAAAATGCACTAAAGGATCAGGAATATTTTTATGCAGGTACTTAGGACCTAATAAAAAATGAATGTGATGACTAAGTACATGGGCAAAAGTACAGAACGTTGCCAAAAGAAAAACTGCATAAAATCTGGCCTTTGAATGGGTGTGCACCATTGTTTTTAATATGCAAAAAACCACTTGAATATACTCAGTTGTGTGTGAAGAGAAAACAAAAGAAATAAGCACACTTGAATTAACATTATATTTTCAAATGAAATATTTAAATATTGCCAAGAGCAGTGAGGGTGTCTGGAACGGGGTGGAAGGGCAGCAGAATGAGCTGAGCAGAGCATGGTGATGCCCTTCAGCGCTGCTTGAGCAGCCACAAAGGTTTGTTCAGGTCTAGAGAGCTGAAGTAAGACCACCACCAGGGCTTCTCCCTGCCTGGTGATGATCCACCTCGAGCTTCAGGCTGTCCATGTTGGGCATGAGGGTCAAAAAGTTCCAATGGGTCATATGGGTCATACACATCTTCCATCGAGCGGCGGAGGAGCTTGTTGGGCCAAGCCTCAACAGGTCGCAGCACGAAGTCAACTCTCCCAGCGTGTTTCATCTTGGCAGGAATGGTAACCCTCTTCACCACCCGACTGTATCCTGGTGCTTGGGCACTGACTATGTGTGTCCCTGATGGTAGGAGTCGCCAGTAGTCTCCGTCAGCAGCTTAGGAAAGGTAAAGGTACAACAAAATTGAACTTTATAGTCCTTTATATCCTTTATATCTTTTATAGTTACACACTCACATACCCACACACACACACACACACACACAGCACAAGCATTTAGAGGGGATCTCAGGTTTTGAAAACTGTTTGGATACAAACTCTAGATGACAAAACCTGGTCTTTTGGAGCTAATGGAGGAAAATTCACATGCAAAATATCAGTAACTGCTGTTCCTGTGTCACAGAGAAGAGAAGATTTCCTTCGTGCTTCTTTCCCAAGGGTATAAGGAATAACTCTCAAAGAAATTAATTTAAAACTTTGTGAAACTTAAGAAAGTGAAAGAAGAATCCAGGCTGCAATATATATGTATATATATTTAGCATGTCTAAGGAGCTAAGAAATCCCTGTTTTATTAAATTGCATTCAATTACTTTGCAGACATTCTAGCACGTAAGATTATGGAGTTGGAGCTGCATCTGGTATAAATTGCCATTAGTGTAAAATGGGTGTAAATTTCCTCCAGCTGAAGGTTAGAGCCTGCAGGCAAAAGCAGGGAGTTTTAAAACAGAAAAATTTATTCTTCATTTTATATTTCCTTTATTTTGAATGGTAAGTCTCTTAGCTTAGTTAATGCTGCATTAATGTCATTTTCTCATGGAATTTCTCAGTCTTTTTTAACACTGAAATTAAGATTTTTTTATCATACAACATTATTAACCCCATCTAACTAAAGAACAAATGCTCCTCTTTCCTTCAGTGTAAACAGATTTTTTTATTTAATTCTTAATCCTTTAAAGGTCCACTGCCAATCAGAAGCCATTGTCCAGGAAGAAGTTTGAAAAAGACCCTAATTCATGCCAGAGTCTCCCACCAGCCTCAAGAATCTGCATCATCTCCACTATTGTATCCCCTCCAATGCTAGTTTTTTTGAAAGCTGGAAAGCATTCACTATATTATAAGTTTTTCTGGCTTTCCAAATTGATTCAACAACTATCATTAGAGCAAAACGTTACCATTCATGTCTTCTATTTTGTGTTCCTATGGCCTACTCTGTTCTCACTGAAATAGATAATAAAAAGAGAACATTGATTTCAGCGACAGCCTAAAAGCTCAGAACTTTATGACTGTGAAAACTAACAGTTGCATATGCCTCAATACATGTTTACCTGTTAGTGACATAACATAATTCATAAAGCAAACATAATTCAATATTCTAATTTTTTTTTATATTGGTAAAATATTGTTAAAAATTTTCATATATTTATGCATTTTCACATGAACAAAAAAGGTGGCACACCCTTCAACTACCACAGTTATTGTAGTTAGAGAGGATCCTACTCTGCTATCTACATCTCATGCTCACAATATCTCAACTAACTTATTCCATTAGGGCTCTGCACCTCCACATGCTGAGTTACAGACCCTGAGCAGGGCTATTGCCATATATCCTCAAACATTGGCTTTGATAGACAGCAGACAGTTCCAGGTGGAAGTTTTCAGAGCAAGGACTCTGTCATCCTAGAGACATGACAGACTCAACAGCCAGTTTGACATGTCTTCTCTCTTGTTCTAGAAGCAAATCCATAGTGGAGCTTTCAGTTCTCCATTAAGGAGCCACTTCTAGCAAACATGACAAGACATTTGCAGGTTAAGCTCTCAGTACTTTCATTCTGCCTCAGGAAAAATCTCAAACTCAAAATATTACCTGTGGTGACATCATGCTGAATGCCTCTGACTGAAATACGAGCATTTTTTATCGGGTTGCCAAACTTATCGGATACAATTCCTTTTATCCCCCGATGAACCTGGTAAAGCAAAGCAAGGTTAGATGAGAGTCACTTATTACAGTACCACCTCCCCATCTTCTACAGGGACACCTCTGTAGAGAGGAAGCAACTGTCAAAATGTTCCAGCAATTATAGAGGCTCTTGGGCACTAATGTCCTTTCAGATCACATTCCCTATTTAGGTAGCTCCAAGGGGGCTGAGGGAAAGGGATAATGGAACCATAGCTTTTTTGGGGCTAGGTATGTGGCTCTGTGTTGAGAGAACCTTCTCTATACAAGTCACTGGCACCTCATGATCTGTCCACAGTATTTAAAAACTGTTTCCAAATGTCTGCCCTAGACCCAGAACCACAAAGATATGAAAAGTTAAGGCTTTAAAAAACAATTCAATGCTCTCTATGCAATGAGAAAGAATCCCTTTAGGTACTTGGGACTCATCATCGCTCTGCTGCCTACACTTCACTGCCTGTCAGAATGCCATGGCAGCAGTGTGTGATATCCTTTTTGCCTTCTCTACAGGCACAGAACTGAGCAGCTTGAGCTGATGAGAGATGTGCCTGGTGACAAACTAAAGAGCAATGCAAATTCTGACATACAAGGAGGTACATAAACAGCTCACTGTATTTGAAGTTCAATTTTACAAAAAAGCAAACAAAAACATCCAAGTATTTAAGCATTAAACCTCTTAAGGTTCTCTTTTTAAAATGTTCCAAAATTAAAATATTTTATATTGGAAACTCAATATGATCTTTCTAAGCAAAAAATAATTCCATTTTGATCTTTTTTTCTGAACTGCTATGGTCAGCTTGAGCTGTTCTTTACTAGATTTTCCCACCTCCTTCTTTCTCTTACTCTCATCTTCCCCTCCCCAGTATCCTTTGTCACAAAAGAACGGAAAAAAGCACAAAGCATCAAAACAGTGGAAAAACATATTTTCTTTTCTGTTGGAATATAAAGATGCTTAAAAATATACATAAAAAAACCCATTACTTCAGAGTAATTCATAATACAAACTTGAAAAACAAGTCTAGTCTAGTGACAGCAGTTTTTTATTTAAGGTGAGGCTGTGTTGTCACTACTCTTGTTAAATGAACGTTCTGCACTGAGTGGAGCTATTCACTGGAAGATTTTGGAACAACTCAGTATAAGGACTTGAAAACTGCCCCTTATGATGAAGCACTGCAATTTGCTTTTCAGCATGAATTTGAGGATTTATCATATGGATAGTGGGCAAATCTGGTCAGAGGAGTAATCTCAGACCCAAATTTAATTTACAGTGTAGACATACTCCAAGTAGTATGACCTCATCCAACTTCAATAATAATTTTGCAATTACAACGTGATGGCATAAAAATGACAAAATTGAAACTTCCTAAAAATATGTTGGATTGTTCTGCTTTAGTAAATGTACTGGTTTTTTGTTTTGCCTCTAGTCGGTGCCACATGAGTTTGGGAGAGTGTTTTGATGCCACTTCTGATGGGGAGAAGAGATCAGCATTTAGGAAAATGAATTCTATTTCTGTGTGTTAAGCCAAGTAGATTTGTACACACACCAAATAGCCTGGTATATATCAGAATAAGAAAAGTTTGAATTGGTTATGGCAGACTTAATCTTTATCGGGAGTAATTCAGTCATCCTTATCTGCAAAGTTGTTTTGCTTACTGTCCTGCATTTACTCAAAAAGCTTTTCCGGCACAGGCTTCTACAGTATCTCACACTATAAAATCTTTACATCTTGAAAACTTCAATTGCAATATATATGGATTTAACCCAGCTCCATTTGGATTCACTAAAACTCATTTTCATCAGACAGCTGTAAAACGAAATGAGTTTGGTGGTCTGTACTGTAGACTTTATTGAATGATAATACTTACCACAAGTAGCAAGAGGTTGCTTAGAAAGGCCATAAAAACACTCCTAACAATTTTAAATTACTGCATACTCTATCAAAATAAGGCATGACAGAAAGCTAATCTCCTAATGGCTGAGAGAAAGACGAGCAACTTATGTTTCTGGGTTCACTTACTTATTGTCAGTGAGGCATTTTTATTGCTAAGCTTAAACTTATTAAAAATTACTTTTAAATGGCATGTTTTAATACTCACAGACATACAGTTGCTCCTTTAGAAGGTTTGGCTTCAGATCTTTTAAAACTACTTTCATAAAGAAATCAAGATGGAAAGTGTGGAGACAGCATTTCTAGCAAGATTTCAGCTGAATCTAAATCTCTTGCTGTGGGACAGTAGGGCTTGGGACATAAACATGGTATATGGAAAGAAAAAACTCAGGAAGCTCTCTGGAAAGCAGATCTTGTTGCTTTAGCCTTCAAGAGAAAGGATGATCCGTGTTTTTCTGAATATATGGGCATTACATTTTGGACAGTTGATGTATAATGCTGCACAAAGTGTTCACAGACAATTCCCCTTCTCACTGTTTTCAAGGCCTTTAGAGTCCTCAATCTCAATCCTTCCTGCAGTATAGGCAACATACTATCTGTGTGTCCTGCTAGACAAACTGAGGCACTGGGGCTGCTGGTGGAGTGTGGTGATTGATTCAGTGTTATCTTGATAGCAAACTGGGGAAACTGTAAAGAAACAAATATTGACAAAGAATGGAGAAGAAAAACTGTAAGCATAAAGGTCTGTAAAAGCAGATCCATACCATTTCCATGTAATTCAGAAGGGCACCTTTGTTTTCATGCCAGATTGTAAACAGTTCTTCCTCCAAAGGAAACTTTTCACATCCTACCTCCACGGTAACTTCAAAGCAATTTGTGTGAAGGTAATTGAAATCTGCCATACCTAGAGGTTTAAAAAGAAAAAGCAGAGCTCATGAACAAGCCATGTAGCCTTTAACTGGAGCTTTGCTGTTGCAGTCAGCTGAATGTTGTCCCCGTGGGTGTGGATTATTATACTGAAGAGTGTTTGTTAATATATAAAAAGTTTTCAACAATTTCAGAATTCTACAACTTGTTTCAGCTACAAATTAACTAATGACAATGACACTCCTTTCAGGCAATAAAAGCACAATTTAAAATTACTATTCACCTGACCAAGAAGTAGTGATAGAACGATACAGATTGTTTAATCACAATAATTGGATAAGCAGCTGTATCAGAGGTGATTGCCAAGGGTCACCAGAACAGAAATGACCTTTGGCCATTATTATGTTCAAAACTGTTTCTGTACAAAAGACATTGGATATAATTTTGGGAAGAATGTAAGCCAAAGATAGTTAAACCTAATTCTCACCAAAGCTTTCTAAATGCCTAGTTTCAACATAATTATTTGGGGATCCAGCTGAGTCCTAGCTGAAAACACAATCTAAGTACTGCTGAAAATTCATGAACACTGATATTACACCCATGCCAGTATTTCAGGAATCCTGAAGAAAGCTAAATACTAGTATTGGGGAAATCAAATTAGCAACCAAAGCACAAATTAAAGGGATGTTTGTCTCTGTTGTTGTTTTCCCTGAAAAAGAGTTTGAACAGACTGAAAAATCAGCGCTTGCATAGTCTGCAAGATAGATTCAAACTCATGCTGCAAAGGAATAAGAACATACCGTTAAGCATTTATTTCTAAATATCAGATTTGAAACCTAGAATAATATTAGATGCTGTAACAAATTTGAGCCTTGCATAACTTGTTAACTTTCGTCAGGTTATATCAGTGCTGAATATATCCCATGGTATCTGAATGTAGCTGTTGCCAACATACATTTTGCTACTTCAATCCCTAACAGGTTGCATTTTGCAGGAGTCTGACCTAAGGGAAACTGAAATGAAGAAAATTATCTTGTTCAAAGCCTTGTGTTTCATAAAGGTCACATAGAGGTTTTACCTCACTTGATATGATGGTAAAGTGGTTTTACCTCCAGTGAAGCTGTACCACTCAGCACCATTTATAATACCTCCGCGTTTGACAAAATTTCCACCACAACGAAGCTCAGATTGATCCGAGATGACTGGATGTGCATCTGCATAGGCTTTAGCCAGCATCTTAAACACCTGTAACAAATGGGTTTGAAACACATTTGCTTTTACAAACTGGAAACATTGTCACTGCTGTTAGCAACTATTGCTGTTGTGAGCCCAGACAATGAGCCACTCTGTGTCCTTGAGGCTGAAGAAGGCTGTGAACCACTGTGCTAGGAAGTTTTCATTTTTACCAGAAAGTTTTCATTTTCTTCTTCTCCAAGGTCCTTCTCTACAATCCAATATACTTAGCCAGAGACAGCATTTTAAATACCAGTGGATTTTGTGATACTTGGCTTAAATCTATCATCTGGGGCAGGAGCAGAGGGCCAGTTTGGGTGTACTGCAAGTCACAGGTTTTAAAGCTCAAATTAGGTCTCCCTGTTATTATAGAATTTTAGAATCCTAGAATGGGTTGGGTTAGAAGATCATCTGCTTCCAAACCCACTGCCATGGGTAGGAACACCTTCCACTAGACCAGGTTGCTCAAAGTCTTATCCAAACTGGCCTTGAACACTTTCAAGGATGGGGTATCCACAGCTTCCCTGGGAAGCCTGTTCCAGTGTCTCACCACGCTTATAGTGAAGAATTTCTTCCTTGTATCTAATCTAAATCTACCTTCTTTCCATTTAAAGCCATTCCCCCTTGTCCTAGCATTGCCTGCCCTTGTAAAAAAATCCCTCTCCAGCTTTCTTGTAGGCCTCCTTTAGGTTATGTTTTAGCTTTTGCTATTTTTACCCTTTAAAAAATACCTACATCACCTTAAGCCCAACCAGACCTTCACATTGACTGCTGCTGTTTAAAATAGACAGTGTCAATTTGCTTTGCACTTATCACTCACACAGGAAAACCTGCCAGTTTGATCTCAATGACAGCTGCTTCATTGTGGGGCAGTAGCTGTTCCTAAAAAGTGAATGATAGGATGTGGTGATGTAGGATGTCACCACTGATTTTCTAAGAGTCTTGATACTGATGAAGAGCAGAGCAGAGCAGTCACCACCCAGAAAAGAACAGTGACAGTACATGTAGTGAAGACAGAAGAAACAGAAGTGATCTGCAGAGAACTTTATTCTCTATGTCATCAAGGATGAAGACCAAAAGGACCAAGCTGGTAGTTAGAAAGCAGAGAAAATTATGGGATCAGGTAGATGATCAAGGAAAAGTGGAAAGAGAGTGTAATATAAACGTAAAGACAATTTACCAATGACCAAACATTAAAAATCCTGACTTAATATAAAATGCTTTTGCAGCTCCCTTGAGTGTCTATGTGCCTAGGTAGTGCTCAGCCCAGAAAATTAAGTGTCATTCAAAGGTCTGCTAGAAAGAAATGGATGGCAATTAAATATGTTAAGAAGAACTTTCACGGCCAATAGTTCAGTGCCATGCTCAATATATTTAACTTCTACAGGAGTTTGGATCCCAGTTCTGAACCTTCCATGGAAGGTATTTGCTGAAAGTTTATAATGTGCCTATGTGACTTAAGACTATGTCCCTCACGTTTTCCAAAGACATCTGCAGATGTCTCATTTCCAGTGACCAAGTCTTTCTACTCTTGTTTCACACCAAGAGGCATAAGGTTTTTGCCTGGCCACTAGTGCAGGTGAATGGAGATGAGTGGCAGTAAGAAGAGAAAGTGAAAAATCCAAAAGCAAGTGAAATCAATTTTACTGGAAAAAAGCTATACCTTTTTGTTGGAGAAAAATAAAAAAAGTAAAAAAGTTCCTGGATAACAATACGTTTGTATTAGCAGCTACTGTATGATTAGGCATAGACCTCAAAAAATCCGAGACATTCAGGTGTAATACAATGGGCCAAAAAGGGAAAAACCACTGAGGAATCCTTGAAACTTTGGCAGCATGATGCTTCATTTGATAAAATGAGGTCCGTGCTGTTACCTTGGCCAGAAATTTTACCCCACTGACTGTGACAGGCTGGATTTTCCAGGGGGAGGGAAGGCAGCGTTTCAACTCACCAAAGAGAGTGAATTTGACTTGGCATGGAACTTTCTGCTCTGGTGAGCAGAGGCATCAATGGATCTTGTGTAACACAAAGCAAGAGCCTGCTAAAAACCTCCATCTCCACAAAAGCCAAAATACGGGAAAATTTTGAATTAGGTGGACTGAACAAGAAGCAAAAATGTGAGTGCAAGGTCCAGCTTTGACAGTGCTTGGTCTCAGCCCGGGCTGTGCTGAAGGCTAAAGAAGTTTGAAATCTGCAGTGTCTTGGAGCACCTATCAAGAGGACCCTTGTGTGCTGCCTACCACACATACACCGTGATGGACATGGGGAGATGGCAGCACCCAGATACATTTTCAAACAGAGCAACCTGGTTTGAATATATCTCTCAAAATCTGACCTCTTAATATCTGGCCACTATCTGCACTCCAACATTTCACCCTGGGCTGCAGCCAAGGGCACACACTTGACTCATTTCCCCTTGCACTGCAAATGTGACAGATCAGTGGTCAGAACAAGGGTTGTGGCTAATGTATGGCAGATAAACCAACCTTCTGTATTTTGGGATGCAGGTTCCCTGGCAGCAGCATCTGCAGATGACATTACTTAAATGCAGGATCTCTTCACAGGTACAGGCTTTATAATTTTCTGTGCAAAATTTAAAGTGATACTGAGAGTGCTGTTAAGGTTCCTGTACTGAGTCATTTGAAAAATTGGTGTTAACTGAGGACATTCCCAGTTCTCTCCCGTATGTTCTAAATTTCCAAGTTTGTAGCCAGCTTCACAGACTTTACAGCCAGTGACTGTGCAGCAGTCACCAACATGAGGCCCCCTGTGTCACACTGTTGCACATCAGGGATGCCATCAGGGCTGATGCACTGCAATGGGATGGAGACCTTTGTCTGTGTGACTGCATCATTTTATTCAAGATACAGATCCTTGGTGGAGACGATGGAGGGACTGCTGTCCTTCTATTCCACAGGTAAACTGCTTGATAAGGCACACATGGCAATGTTTCTTCACCATCTATGGGTAAACCAGGATAATCCTAGCCCAGGCAATGGGATATAAATACACGGATTTATGATTTCACCTAGTTCTCACCAAGAGCTTCTTTAGCTTTCACTAGCACCCACCAGATATTTCTAATATAACTTTTTTACTGTGCAGTGCCTGGTTAATTTTACTGCTGAATTATTGTCATACATACATAGTCAGTAGGTGTTTTACAGCTCAGTAAAACATGGATTGATATAGAAAATATCAACAGTCATAAATATTTCAATATTTAATATGTGCTAGCGAGAACTGTCATTTTAGAAGTCATCCCAGAGATATACTCAAAGATAATGGATGCTTGAAGTCAAAGATCAACTTCTGACTATTTTCAAACTGCAGTTTGTTATATGAAGAACCACCTTTCTTAAGAGGCCAGGGACATTTTCCGCATACGCTAGAAGGCTGAAACACTAGCTGCTTTCCTAGTGGGCATGTCAGCAATGAATACCAGATTGAGGAAACCAAAGGGAAATAGGAAAGATGGCAAAAAATTTCACAGAAGATTTACAGTGTGTCCCAAATGGGGAACTTTCCAGGGACGAGAGGAGGAAATCATTCCCGTTTATCTGACCTGGAATAAATGTTACAAGGCTGCCACCATATGGCAGCCAGCCTTTTTATTTTTCCTCCTATAGATTTCAACAGACAATAACACTGCTGGTCAGGTTTGTTCCCTTCCTTCTGGAAATCACTGGTAAAAATATCACAGCCTACTACCTTTAAAAAGTAAAGCCTGGATTTTCCTAACCTATGCTTTATGAAATCATGTTTGGCCTTGCAAAAGATGGGTAAACCTTCCAGACCAAGTTGATAATGTGACAAATGACCCTATATTTTGAAGCACATTAAATAAATGTTTAAATCATATTATATATGTTTATATACCCTTTCATTATGTATATAAACATATGATTTATTACATGTGTAATACATATGTGCATAATATAGACACTTGTACACAATCTAAATAAATCAAAGTTTGTTATTTGTTGAAAGAAAAAGCTTCTATACTTCCATATGGTTTCCACATGGAAAACACATCAGTATGCTCACTCTGTAAAAACAATATTACCTTCTCATCAGGTGTAGGGGAGAACATTTTTTCTTCCATAGGATGCCTTGAATAGTCATAAGGATATGTTACAACCAGCTCACCCCCATGGAGGCTGGCAGAGAGCACAAATGGGATAGACCTCAACCACTTCATGACTGCTTTTGTCTCAGGGGCCACCTGAAATCAAGGAGAGAAAAAAGCTGTGACTAGCCACCAGCTCCAAATAGATTTGATCCTGGGCAGGATGAAGCACAGTGGAGAAGGGAGTGTGGCAAAAGGAGAATGTTGAGACTCTGGCTCTTCCATTGCAAAGTTTAAAGTGGGGAGAAAGTAAGTTTGCTCCAGGGAATGGATGAGACACACTGGAAAAACTGGGGAAAAAAAAGGAAAGACAAAGTTTGTCAGAAGAATAACTTTTCATTACAGTGACATTTTCAGCAGTTCAAAGTGATGATGGCAGCATTTTATCCTAGATAATTTGTGCCATTGTACCATCAATTGCTAACCAAACTCCTTATCTAATTTAATTTCTGAATCAGCAGGATTCAGAAGATGCTCAGGCATCCATCCTTCCCCGGCGTGCAGGAGGCTCCTTTACCCCATGTTTCTGAGGAGTAATTTCAGGGATCTGCTCCGGTGTTAGTTTCTTTTTAGGAATAACAGTGTCATCTGGTGGCCGGTCCCTGCAAGCCCAGAGTCACACCAGTGCCCCTGAAGGAGTGAGGTTTTTTCCTTGTAGCTGGAAAAGTTACCAGGGGAGAAGAGGGTGAGGACAGAGGCTGCTCACCCGGACTCTGCACCAGCGAAGATATATAGTTTTAATAAAAATGAGCAAGACCTGTTACGATAGACTTAGTCCAACATCTCTTCTGGGCTGCTAACATTGCACATCACCCTTTGCTGTCAGAAAATCAGTCAGCCAGGGCTCCAGAGTGCTTCATGGCTAGTAACAGGGTCTCAAGTCAACAGTGGGGAGGAAAAAAAACACACAAAACAAACAAACAAGCAAAACCAAAACAAACCAACCAAATTAAACCCCTAAAGATCTATACATTAGTTTTGCAATAATAGTAATTCCCATTTTCTTTGGATCAGACTCTAATCTGCTATAGGTAAATCACAGCTTTGGGGATGCAGTGGGTAGCACAAACCCAGGTGTGGAGCAGAGAAAAGCAATGTGAAGCAAAGGTGTACCATGGATGTATTACGTCCCAGCAGTGAGGCAGAAAATCATGGGAAAAAAATCATGTATTTATACAGTTTTACCTGGAATCATTTAAGATGATATCATCCTTCCCATTCCTGATCTAAGCAGGAGACTACCTCACTTCAGATGTGATATTTATTAACAGAGTCCTTCTAGTTTTCCGGTTTCCTTAAAATGCCATTCTGTAGCTGTTGAGCTGATCTAGTGACTTGAGCCACTGTGGTGACAAGGAACTTGGCAGTGTCTTAAAAACCACTGCCTGTAGCAAAACATTTGGTTTTCTGGTCTCTGCACAGTACCCTGGGATGATCTGGTAGCTATCTTTATCCCAAGGAAATTTGGGAGTGACCCAGCCACTCCCACCTGAAACCTGGAAGTGCTTTGTTCATCCTTTGACCCATCTCTTCTGAGGAGCAGACAACCCAGGTGGCTTGTAAGGGGCTATAACTGTCACTGCCTGCCCCATGGATTCCTGTTGGGGAGTTCAGAGAGTGGCTGAGGACCTGGCACCAAGCTCACACCCTCCAAGCACTATAGCACCAGCACTCCTGAGGAGGATGCTGCCCCAAAATCTCCTCAGCTCCCTGCCCTGCTACAGCTGCCCCAGGTCTTGCTGCCCAGAGAGGGCATGCCTGATACCTGCATCAGCCCTGCTTTCAAACAGCACTCTTGGACCTTGATAAGATTTTTAATTTGCTTCTGCCATTCAGTGGGCGAGAGTGAAATACACAGTTTTATTTGAGAGCTCTTAATTTCAGTCTTTCACCCTGATTAGTAAACTTGCTTAGTAGATACATGCATAAGCCACGAGACAGTGCTGTCTCACAGAGTCAGTCAATGTCTTATTGAAGCGAATGTTTTGGAAAATCAGGAGTCTCAGTGTCACTATTTTTATCCTAATAGATTTCAGTGACATCATGTACAGCGATTAAGGCTTTGAAATGTGCACATCCTGGTTCAGCTCCACCGGATGATAGCAGATGCTATCTATGTCACTCTGGCCTTCGACTATTCATAGACTTTTCCTTTAATGTGGGGTTTGATTTTTGTTTTCACCAGGGCTCTTGCTTTTAAGTTAGATGAGATCAATTTTAAAGTATCCATCTCACCAGAACAATTAGGGGCACAATTAGAAAACAGCTAAATTATTTCTCCATAAGTACAGAGAATGGCCACTACCCTTTTTAAACCTGAATCTCATTTCTGTTGATTATACTGCAATTAGTCACTGTCCACATGGCTTGCAAAGATTTCTTTTTTTCCTTTCAGAAGCAGCCAGACTCATTTTCCTAAAGACTATGCCAACCTCCACTGACACAGACTTCCAAATTCTGTTTGTATCAAGCCAAGTGAACCAACTTTATTTCAGATGAAGCCTGAAGTCTCTCAGTCTAAACCCTCAGACCACTTATTGCAATAATTCATAATAGTGGGGAACAAAACACATTGTACAGCAAAGATAATGGGGAGCAAGAGCTCTCCTGAGCTTAAGGGATTGGCTGGGAGCTCACTTTCTGGTTTTGATCTTTATACAATGCCCTGCAATACTCAGATAATTACTTTAATAAGGCAGGTAACAAACACTATTAAGTAAATGAAAGCTGAGAGGCTGGTGTTGAAACATTCAATCTAATGCTCTTGCATGCACAAAGCTGACTACTGTAAGAGCCATGGGTTCATCTGCCTGACAAAACTGAGGCTCATTATGGGAGAGCTGAATTGGCTGTCCTGTGATGCCACCGGCAGAGGAGAGGGACATGAATCTGTGAGTCCACTTAATGCCAGGTTTGTGAACCATGTGAAACTGCAGTCAGCAAGGAGATTTTTGTGATGTCATCCAGACCAGAGGCAAATTGGTTCCCACATTTGTTCTGCAAAATATATGGCTTTGGAAATGATGTGGGTGTTGTTTAGATCAGGACCAACTCTGGGGTCAGGAGAGTATCTAGAGATACCTTAAGCATTTGTGCTCTGAGGAATAAGTCCTTATTTCTTTGTTACAGACAAGAAAAGGTTTGCAGGAGGAGAAATGTATTTATAACCACAGGTCAGCACCCACTGAGGCAGAGCTCAGGCAGGGGATGCTTGTGTGCCAAGGCTCCCTTGTCTCTTGTCTGTGGTGACAGGCACCCTAGAGTAACCAGCATGCTGCAGTTGGTGCAAACCTGTGGTGCTAACTGTAAGAGCAATGTAGAGCTGTTTCCATCTATCCCTCTACAAAATGCTGTGATGTTCACAGCATCTAAGAAAGTTAAATACATGGTTGTAAAAATTATTTCTGCAAGTGGCTGCCAAGACTGGAGGAGACCTCTAAGATCATCAAGTCCAACCATTAACCTGTTAAAAATCAGTGGTCTAATATGCTATTCATTAGTGAACCCGTCACAGCCTTGCATCTTCACATGCACTTTTATCCAGATTTCACTACTATGCAAGGGGTACCAGAACACTGGGGCAGCATTGGGGATGTCTTTGGGATTTAGACCTGGCTTTATATAAGACCACCTGCAGCAGAGCAGGAACTTGGTCTCCCATACTTCTGCTAACACACCAGCTGCTGAAACAATCTGGCTCCCCACCTGTCTAAGGCTATCTGCTAGGAATAAAACTTTAATTAGAATAAAATCAGTTTAAAAGCAGAAGAAAATCAGAGCTCCCAATATCAGAACTACTGATTTATCTTCCTGTATTTCTTCTTTCAAGGGGAACTAAGTTCCATCGAGAGGTGCTAGTGCTGGGGCCTGCTGGGCTGTCAGCAACACAGGTAGGACTGAGCTTTGCTTTCCTGGACACAACATAACCTAGAGGTTAGTGAAAATGAGTGTGAGGCTGGATAGTGCTGCCTCCATCCTGCTTCCATCCTGTAGCAGCAATTTTCTTTTCCAGCACCACTGCAGCTTCACAGGCTGTTTCCATTGCTCTATCTAGTTACAGTCACTTATAAACATCCCCTTTTATTTTTTTATGGAAGCTGATGCCATACAACTTTACATGAAGTCTTTGTACATTTTCCAAGGCAGAAAGCACTACTGCATCCAACCTGTGCAGAGCTTAGTGCAACAGCAGCCAAATCCATAAAGTCTTTAACATGCACAACAGTTTAAATCACTAATGATGAAACATTACATGCTTGTGACCCACTCATAACAGTCATTATTCTTAATCTGAACCAGCAAAGTTCAAATTGTCCACAAATTTTCCTAATGATTTGTGACACCTGCCTCTTTGGCCAGACCTACACCATGATTTTCATGCCAATTCAGAGTCTGTCCAGTTCAGTCCTATTTATAAAATCTGATTGCCAGCAAATAACTTCAGACCAAGCAATCTCAGTTTCTTAATTCTTGAGTTGCTCTGTAGTATATATGGTTTATAAAATCTGTAGTTCATACCTTACCCCACCAGTAGGACTGTGGAATGGGGATGTGGTCCAGACGGGCCCCACGAATCCCAGCTCTTCTGTAAGCCTCAGATGTCAAATCTGGGAAATTCCTGTTCAGGTCCAAGTTCTGAGCTGTCTGTCGTCCGATAACCCAACCATTGTAACCAGCTCCCTAGTTGGTAACACAGAAGCCAACCTCAGAATAACTTCCTGTCTCAAAATACCACTTTGTGTTTAAAATGCTGTTTTAATCAAAGGGATGTTTTAAAAGAAGCAAACTACAAATGTCTATACTGTTAAAAACCCCGTACTTATTAATCACTTTTTCTCCCCAAACTGACTAGCATTCAGGAAGCATTTCACTCACCAGTGATGTGACTCATGAGAGGAACACAGCAGCTTCTTGCCCAGCACAGAGCAGCATGCAGAGTGGATTAGAGGAGGAGAAAAAGGAAATACCAAAGACAGGATCAGGCAGAATGCAATAGCTAGACTCATATAACTGGCAGAGCTCACCACATGAGCAACACAGAAAAGGAAAGGTCTAGTTTCATGCTGATGGTGGTAGTGAGAACAGTGAAGTGAAAAGAAGTAGAATGCCAGGTGACATAATAGAAGCTCTGTTTCCACAGGTCTCCATCAGACACAAGTTTATCTCTGAAAACTGCCATCCATTATGAAACTGTGACAGTACAGAAAATATTCATTTCATTACACCTGCACTTCTAAAAGAGGAGGAACATCTGTTCCATGGTATTAAACCACATTTCCTTATAAAACAATTGAAGTCATTATGGTGAGTCAGTAGGCATTTTGTTCTACAAATGATAGCAGGGAGTGCTAAATGCATGAAAAACTAACATAGTCATTCCCACATCATCACATGCAGGCAGCAAAAATGGCAAATATGGCTCTGATTTCCTCTTAACTCTGTTCATACCATCTTTGGAAAGCAACCTATCACCAGCCCCACCTGGGATTCTGGCTGCCAATTATTAACATTCCCTCATTTACATGATGCTCCCTTCCCAGTTTGCCCATTCCCATGGGGAATCTGAGAAACATGAAGGCCTGAACATTTCCTTATAAAAAACCTTTTACCTCTTCTGCAGCTAGTTCATACCCATCAGGGTTGAGTGAAGGCAAGAGATGAATTCTGGTATTGTTAATCAAGGTCTGGACACGAGGGTTCCCGAGAAGATACTCCGAACACAAATACTGTGCGAGGTATATCAGCAGCTCCTTCCCCACAACTTCATTACCGTGCATATTGCCAATGTACTTAAATTCTGGCTTGACTGTGGAATATGAAGTAATTAGATGCTTTAATTTGATTATACCTGGGTGGCTTCCAAAAGCAGAGTAACCCAAATATCTTACTGAAAGTTTGATTTACACTGATTTCATGCATATGTTCCTGTAAGTAACACAACAGTTCCAGGTGAATTTCCCTCCATTACACACCAGTTCAGCAACAATTTCAATAATGTGAAATAAAGTTAAGCCCAAACTATCAGGATCTCAAGCTGTAAGAGGCCATCATTGCTCTGAGGTTTTCCTGGACTCATCATTATTTGTGAACAAAGAATGCTGCAAACAAAAATTTCAAGCCATGGCTGGGAAAGAACAAAATACACCCCTGGCACTTTCACTTACCTTGGGCAGCTTCAATGTCTTAGTTTGCCACAGGTCCTACAAACAACCTGCAGATGTGTACTGTATTACCTCTCTATTTGAAACAGAAAATGGGTCTTGCATAAAAAATGACTTTCAGGCTAAATAGCCTTGGAATAAGACTATTAGAAACATGTAAATTTGTAATTTCCTGCAGTTATTCTCTCAATTTCCATCCTTCCTTGGAGACTAATGGAAAGTAGAAAATAGATACATTTCAGAGCACCCTTTCCTGTCTATCCTTTCATCTTTGCCTTTGATCCTGGCCAGCCTTGAGCACTAGGTACGGAAGGTGGCCTGGCACAGAGCTGTTATGCCCCTTGCTCAGCCTGGCAAAATCTCCAGCTCTGGAGCTATTTCCAACCCCTTTTATGCTGTCCTGAGCAGCATGAAGCAACAGGTTTAGAAGAAAATGCTAGGTAATGTGTTACACTACCATCTTTTATCCTGCCATAACACTGTTTTCATTTAAAAGCCTGATTGGCTTTGTGTTCTCCTGGAAATTGGAGTATCAGCTGAAAAAGACACCTGCAATTTCTTTACTTTAAAAAAAGAGAGAAAGAATGACAGGCCAAGAAAAGGTAATGTATATATTTGCTCTGTTAAAGACATCTACTGGGACCTGATCAAGTTTAAAGGCACCTTAAAATACCTTTACACAATGCAAGGATGTATAGCCAAGAGCTGCCAGTCTTTGCTGTCTTCTCTGACTCCCCTGAAGCACAGCATACAGAGGACACAGTATCCTAACCTGAGATGATAATCTCAACAAATTATTAAATCAGATGTAGTTCAGTTCTGCCACACTGCTGAGGCTGTGTTGACACTGGAGCAGTTCTGATGAGAAGCAACCTGAGGTTCTTAGTATGCAGCATTGGTCATAGCACTCCACTAGATTTAGTAAGGTGCGATTTTTGAACTGGGAACAGGTAACTAGAAAGTAATACCTAATACTCTCCAAGAATATGACCTGCATTTTGAAGATTTTTAAAAATCTGCCCCCCACTCAGAGATGAATCTACATAATAGAGATCTGCCCTGGTCCCCTCTGCAGAAAAGTTGTGAGGACTCATATCCTAATATAATATATTAGCATCTATCTACAGTAGGTGCTAATAGCACTTTATTAGCACTCATAGCACTCTTGATGTGCAATGATAACATAAATTCCTGGTATTATGCACCTGTTAAACTGACAGGTATTGCACTGACCTGAACCTTTCTTCAGCACAATTGTCTTCCATGCTGTCACCCCTTTTTGATGTCAATGTACTTCTGTATCTGAGGCCATCTCAGAAGATGTACATATTTTAGGATGTGAAGAATCATGTTTAGACTATGGACAGGCATTGCTTGTAAGAAGTGTGTGGAGTTTGATGGTGCAGTGATAAACAAAAGGAGACTGAGGAAGTGGTAGATGATAGGAATGGCAAGTCAGTAACAGAAAACTATCCCAACAAGTTTGCAGGCTGGCCACAAATAAATAACAGCCATATCACTGCACCCAAGTACATGATCATACATCTAGGAACAAGGATACCAACCATGGGCATACACTGAGGTCATAACAGTAAGAAATTACTACAGTAAATCATCAGCTATCCCTGTAATTCAGGAACACAAGGGAGGAGAAATTTTTTTGAATCAATGCCTCTTACAGTTTAAGTAACATCCCATTAAAAGGACATGTTTTCACTTAGATAATCTGATCTGCCCTCAAGCAACCTGATCAACACTGATACATAACTCACGCAGTTCATGGTGTCCAGGCTTGGTTGAAAACTCAATCACAAAAAGATCCTTCCCTTCAAAACTGCGACCTATGCTGTAAGTTGTTGCAATATGGGAGCACTTGGCAGCAGTCTTCTTCAACGTGCTCACCATTTGGGAATAGGAATGGTGTTTGAACTGAATAAAAGTTGCTGGCAAGTCTGAAGGTGAATCTTCCTCAACATCTACTTCTCCTGCAAAGAAAAATGGTAACACAGTGTTTTAAACCATGGTGTTCAGAGGATTGTATGAAAGCCTCCCCTTTTCTGCAAAATACCCTTATAATTAGAAGAATTATAGAAAATTCAGCCTCAATAAAAACCTTAATTATATGTAGTACATCCTACACTGTTTATTGTGACATATTTTGTTTGCAAAATCTTGCTAACGCATATGCACACTGCTAAATATTTAATGCAACCTCCAGTTATAATTTGGCTTTTGGCAAGCTAACACATTTTAGTTACAAATTGTACAGATTTTTCACTTGAAATTTGGTGGATCAAATTTAGTTTCTATGAGAGTCACGTCTTCAGCTACCTAGATTTTCTTCATCCAAACAAAAATCAGTGACAATTATTAATGAGAGCATTTTAATGAGCTGTAAAACTTGTCAAGAAGACATGAATTTACAAGTGCATCAAGGTTTTAGCTTTTAAATAAAATATTTTAAATATATAGACATCTACCACACAGGACATGGCTTATCTAAATTTATCCAAACACCTTGCTCTGAGCTGCCTGTCTTGATGCTCTTTGTGAACGAGGGAGAGAAACAGATACTTCTTGAGTGCAGTTTAATTAAGTGTTTAAAATAGGTGGAACAAAATGAATCACACCTTACAGGCATCTATAAAGACAGCAAGCTGAGATGACAAGCGAAGAGGTTTTGTGCCATAGATGTGTCAAACTGAGTGAGATGAGACTCTTCCCATCTAGACAAGATGCAGAAGCAGAGCTTCCTTCCTTACCTCTCAGCTTTGCCAGTGGGTCAAAACATCCTTCTTCTTCCCCAGCGAAAAAGCGGTCGCAGTCTAAGAAGTAGGGCCAAGCCATGTCTATTGCATCAAAGGCAAAGAGGCAACTTTTTTTGAGGTTTTCACAGACATGCCTGCAGGGCTTTATAACTTTGTCCTTTCTGCACTGTGGGGCCAGCACCGAGCAGGCCAGAATCCTTAGGTCTGGATTGCATTCTCCCTGGAGCAAGTTGTGCAGCACACTGATGAGGAGGTACTCGGAGCTGTACTCAATCACCTCTCGAGATTTCTGATCCAGAAAATTAGGATACGCCATTTGAGCATAGGCAACATCATTACAAGAACTTAAGGCAATGTCCACGCATTTTGCTATGAAAAGGAGATGAACATAGGAAAAATAATTTGTTTCACTGGCATTCTACATAGTTCAAAGACAACATAACAAATACCATGTTTAATGAACTTATTTCTTTTGTTCACAACTAGGTTGGAAGCAGTTTACAGTACTCTAAAACTTAATTTCATTTCTAAAACCACTGGCAGAAATGATGAGAAGCATGCTTGGTCTGGAGATTGATTGCAAACAGTTTGATACAAGAAGATGTCATTCAAAATTCAAGTGGTGTCTGGCAATTTAAGGGGGCATCAGGGCTTATTTGATTGATAACCACTGTTTCTAAAAAGATTCACTTTGCTAATTCAATGCCTGAAAAAAAGAAAGGACAAATCTCTACCCAGAAAACACTGGAGTACTGAAGCCCTTTTGTCAAGTTTGATTGAAATTGCTCAAAGAGATCAAAAATTATTCTAGGACTTAACTCACAGGCAAGCAGACCCATAAATATAATGCATTTTATGAAATCAGGCTAGGAGGTCTTTGGAAGGATAAATGTTGGGAATATTTTCAACACACTCAGAGGTGAAAAGCCCTTCATAATATTACTGGTTATTATAGGGCTATTAAAATTCATTTATTTTAATTTTAAATTTTAACTGATTTTTAAGTAATTTAAAATAGCTGTATTTGATTAATTTATCCTATTTATTAATTCATTATTAAAATTAATATTTTAGGGCTATTAAAATTACTGGCTATTTTTATGGGTCTACATTTGAGCCTCCTTCTCTGGTTGGTAGCAAATACTGTCACCACAGCTGCAAAATCCTACGTTGTGTGAAAGAGTACATTTCTCTTGTAACAAGACCTACTATAGCACCAACAGAATACTTGTCAGAAAACAATGAAGAAATACTTAAGGTTTTGAGATTCTTCAAGACCAGTGAGCAAAGACACATCATACCTTTATGTGCAGTTTGGCATTGACCTGCAAATAAAGAGGAAAAAAAATCATTACAGAGCAAGTAGAAGTGACACCTCCCTTGTGTTGGGAATTGTCCAATCTGGTATCCCCACAGAGGCTGCTGAGACTCTATGTCCTGAGGTCCAGCCATACCAGGGACAAGCACATAATCCCAGGAGGAATATATTACATATATACACAAAGAGAAAACACAGTAAAGGGAAACACAGTCAGCACCAAAGTATCATCCTGTTCCCCTTTCTGGCTAAACAAGATGAAAGACCATTGATGAAAAAGAAATACAGGTGGATCCCTCCAGTAACTCACCTTAGACACACTGGTACCCCAGTATCTAGGCTCAGTTTTCTAGTAGCTGGCCCCTGGATCCACTGCTCTGCCATTTGCCTCCTGTACTGACACACATACAGGTCTCTCTGGTATCTGGCCAAGACCTAGGATCTCACTGGTAGCCAAGCCCCAGACACTGTGTTCTTCCTAATAGCTGGCTTGGACCTCTTGGTTACTCAAAGTTTCCAACTATGAGAAACTCTGGTCTTTTCAGTATCCAGCCCAAGATCACTGCCCCTCAAATACTCAGCTTCCAAATATTTTGCCAAGTCCACTGCTAGTCTAGCTTGGTGTTTGCTAGCAACTGCACACACTGACAAACACACACAAGGCACACACAGTCTGATCCCTCCAGCCACTGTACCCCAGGCACACAAGCCCTTCTGACCCATGGTCTCACACCAGTCTTTGGCATGTGAAACCCCATAGACCACCATACACCCCCTAGAAAAAGAGATACTCTTACCCAGGCAAAGAATTGGAAATGGAGATTCAGAAGGAGATATGACAGACTGCAGGGATCAGGTACAGGGCACGAACAGGCAATCTCACTTACCAGCCAGCACTCCATCCACAATGTATCTGATGTGTGGCTGTGTAAGAATCAGGCCTGTGCTTGAAAAAGACGTTGAGGTGCCCAGCCCTGAGAGCTTGGCAATATTTCTAAACTTGCTTAAAAACTCTATTAGGTTCCTAGGAAATTTCACTAATCAATATATAGGTCTTTATTCATCTGGTTTAGTCGAAAAGTCCATGTGAGTCCTTCTGTACATACCAAGGTGCCTTATTGGTCTCTCCCTAAAAAATCTGTTGGTCCCACATAATGTGCATACCATTCTTGCAAAGCAATTCAGCCTTTTGTGGGTATGAGGGGACCTTATTTCTTCCCCATCCTACTTCATCCTATCTCTAGCAACTGCATTCTATCTTCCTTTTAATAACATCTTAAAACTAATTATTTCCCTGCCCAACTACTCTCATGGGAAAGCTTTTCCAAAAGCTCACTCATCTAATGGCTAGAAACTGCCTTTTAATTTCCTGTTCAAAAGTATTTGTGGCCACTTTGTGTTGTTGTGCCACCATTGTCCTTTAGCTTAAATTGCTCTCTGTGCTCCCTGGTGCATACCTTCACCCTGTGTTTGCACAGAGCAATCAGATCTCCTCAGCTTTATGTTTACTAGGTCAAACAAATTAAGATCTCTTGATTTTGAAGGAACATGGTTTGATAACCGAGGAGAGGCTTCTTCAGCTCCTATAGCTAATGATTCTATATTGCCCTTCAACACTGGCAACTAAAGAAAAATATTGCTACCAAGGTATTGGAACTGGTTTTACTGGTGCTTCACAGAGGCTAAGCCACCATGTGCAAGCTTTTTAAACATCAACAGATTCACTTTTCTTGTGATGCATTTGGGATCTAGCTCTGCTGCTATTTCTTCTAGCTCTCACTGGGGGACACAGACATCCAGCTCAGTGAGTTGAGCATTTTCCCTTGTAAAACAAAATGCAATATGTTTTCATTTTTTTCTTGCTATAAAGAGTTTGAACATCTACTCCTGGCATATTTGTTTAAATGTAATCAACTGCATATGTGCTCTAATGAGTTGATCATTCTTTAGCCAAAACATAGTCATTGTCATGAGAAACAAATTAACCCTGGGATTTTATCTTGGAGGGAGATGTTTAATTGGAAATTAGTCTAGTTCTATATTATGAATTGTAATTGATCCACATTACCTCATAAAATAAATGAGGCATCAGAACTAGCAGAAACAGCCCATCTCCAACACCAACAAGTTCTGGTAAGCAGCAAGCTGGAAAAAATTACATCCATACAAACTCCTTTCCTGGCTTGGTACATTATGCTAATAGCAATAAACAATACCTGGTTCATCAACAGTGCTTTCCTTTACAGGATTTCAATGTTTCCCCTAGCTAGGCACAAACCCCTCTGTGAGTTAGTTATTAAGGTCAAGGCATTTCTATAAAAGCTTCATCTCAGACAGATACTGCATGTAGCGTTACATCTGAGGATAATCAAGGAATAGCATTTTGTACAATGCTAGCTGGGAAAGAGAAAGGAGAAGTCTCTTGCTAGTAAGAGCTCCAGAAATTAATCCTGCTGATTAAATTGGACGTCACTAACTCCCTGAATCTGGATTGTCTAATATGTTAACGCCATCACACCTACAACCATTTGAGAGGCCTTGGGCACAAGTCTGGAGCCAGCCAAATGCTCCAGACAGTGGGGAAAATATGCTGTGGATGGGACTGGTGGGAGTACAGCCACATCCCAAGGAGCAGAGTGACACTGTCGCTGTTTGTCAGCAGGCTCATTAGCAATGAACCCCCTTCATTAGCTTGAGGGACGGATGAGAAATATTTGACTTTTTTTGGCCTGAGCAGAAAATGACTGTATTTTAGCTATTATTTTAGACTAGAGGGTTGTGTGTGCTGAGCACAGTTCTTCGTGGGGCATTTGGGGAGTATGAATGCTCTTGCTACAACTGCTCATGTTTCCTCAAAGGTAAGAGGCATTTACACTCTGCTGGTTCTGGGGCAAAGCTACAAATGTCCTTTTTGTTTGTCTCTCTGACATGCACTAATCAAATAATGAAACTGAGGCACATACAATCTCCCTGACTGCTTTTGCTATGCAGGAGTGCTATAGCCATCAGTCAGTTTGGACAAGCCTGTTCTCAGTGGTGTCTCAGTATTCTGCTTATTCAGCTGGAGCAGAAAGGTGTTCTGGCAACACACTGGAACAAGCAGAGGAAACTGAAGGGAAAATGCAGTGGGTGGGGTCTGGACATGGTGCTACTGCTTCTCCCTGCTCCAGCTCCCTGAGCAGCGGCAGATTTGCTGGATTTAGCAAATGCCTCTTTCTGCCCAACTAGCCCAAAGGAGAGGCATCGGGAAGTAATGGATAGCCTATGGAGGAGACATGAAATTTCGCTAAGTCATATGCTGTCCCTAAGTTCACTGGAGGACTGGATCCTTTTATGAGCAGGAGGAGATGTTAGCACAGGAGAGGCAAAGACAGCTCTGGTTTCAGAGTGCCTACCTGGCTTCTACACTTTGGTATTTTTACCATACTTACATAGGGACAGGCAATCTGTTAAGCAGCAAGGCTAGTACTTATTAAGAAAGATGCTGACTGAAGAGGAGAAATCTATTTTTCAGATGAGGAGCCCAAGTCCATATAAATCTTTTCCATGGTAAGTGAAGTTATTCATCACAGTATGTGATGAGCAGGGGTGATTCTGCAACATGGGATGAAGTTTTTCCATTACTTGTGACCCAGCATGCCCCTTAGAAACTCAAAGCTATAAAGATTTGCCCATTGACTAGCAAAACTGGCTCCTTGCTCCTGAGTCCTGAACTTAGACCTAAATCTAAACTTAGATCCAAGCCTCACATTTTTGCAGCATACCATGCTGTTTTCTCTCTGTCTCACTCTGCTAGAGATACCTGTGCAGCTTCTGCTGCTGCCAGAGGCCAGCTCTGCCCAAACTGTACTACTTCTCCCCATCATGCAAACTGCTATGTGATCCATACCTCAGCCACAGCTCTGTGTTGTAAACACCCAGGAGCAGAACAGCTTGAGATTTCAGGTTATAGAGAGTTAATATACATAAAAGCAAGAGGAAGAAGGTCTGGTTTGTACCAAACCTTGCTTTATAGCCAGTCTTAAACATGCATGTGTGCTGATGTGGTGTTTGGACTTTCCCAGTGTTTCCTAATGCCAATGCTTGCATATGTTTTGGAGGGTGCAGCTCTGCAAAGGCCAAAGATAATTCTTCAGTATGTGTACTTATATAAATAAGTGTGGATGCACGTAGCTGGGCCAGAGCCTGCTGCCTGCCTGGAGAGCCAGCAATAGGAAACTCTCTGACACCAGTTCCAAAACTGTATGCTCTGTTCCTGCAGATCTGCACCCACGGGCCTGGGTCTCTGCACACAGAAATCACCAGAAAATCCCAATCCCCACCATAGCTTGTTTTATGTAAGCTCTGACAATGCCAGAAGACTTCAGGCATTCCCTTTCACTTTTTCATAGGAAAAATGACAAGCAATGATATACACAGAGTTTCTCAGGTCTCCTGATTCACTTGGCAGGCTTCAGTTGCTGCTTCATCTGTGCTTGAAAGAGTCTGAATCTCTTCCATCTTTTGTGAAGAGGCTTCCCTGAGCTCAAAGGGAGACAGTGTCACCTCCTCTCAAAGTCCCATCCATGGACAGGTTGGTTACAGAGAGACCTTTTTCTTCCTGACCCAGAACAGCCTTTTCAATTTATAAAGTTTATTTTTGTACCCTAGCTGTTCCACCAGAGCTACAAAAGCCCTTTCAGTAGCACAGCTTCTATTTAAGATTACGGATAAAATAAGTTATTAAAGAGGGGAAAAGCCATTTCAAGCTTTCTGAGCCCTCTCTATAATATACACTTCTGGTTTTAATTTGCAAAGGCAAGCTTGAAAATCTACAATGCAGCACATACATATTTTACTGCCAAGCTTACATTTTTTCCCCTTGATGATTCAGCACTGAAGGAAGCAAGCTGCTGTGATTAACCCTAACCCAGACAACAGAGCTCAACAGCTATTACCATGGCCTGGCCATTTACCTTTGCAGGAGCAAAGCCAATAGGAGACTCATATGACAAGGGCCAG